GTAGTATTATATATATATATAGTGTGTGTGTGTGTGTGTGTGTGTGTGTGTGTGTGTGTGTGTGTGTGTGTGTGTGTGTGTGTGTGTGTGTGTGGTGTGGTTTACGATGTAGCGTGGCGTATATCTGGCACACCATTAAATCGATTTTTTCCAGAGATAATAATTATGAGTTAATCGTATAAGCAACTCTCATTAATATTTATAAAAGGAAGTACATTTATAATTAATTTATGAGCTATATCGATAATTTATGTGATAATTAGTAGAAATTTAAACTCTTGTATTTCGTAATGTATCTTGTATCTTTTTTTATATATTACAAATGAATTCTTTTATGTAAGAAACCCAATTTTAAACAAGGAAAGAAAAAAGGAAAATTTTATTGCATTGATTTTGAAGATGTCAAATTAAAAAGATTGTACGTGGTTAGAAATGTGAAAGAATACGATTTAAAACCGTTTGTGTATTTAATTACAAACTAATCTCTTTTTTAACCTATTAAGATATCCACGTGTCTTAAATATTTAGATTTAAATATAGAAGAAGCATTTTACAAGAATCCTCTCAGAAAGAGAGGGGAGGGAGGGAGAGAGAGAGAGATAGCGGCTTATACCGTAAAAGGGAGCTACGGAGAGTACGCGGAAATCGCACGCGTTAGAAATATCTCTAAAATATTTAAATCGGATTATCTTGCCTTCCTTCTTTCTTTCGCGCGCCTGGCTGTGTCACTCAATACCAAAGTACTCTCTTTATCTCTTTCTTTATCTCTGTCTATTAGATTAACGAGAATAAAGACGCGGAATTATTTATACGTTACTTTCGCCATCATTTAGCGGATCGATCACGCGACCGTAGAAATCCTGGAATGCTCTGCGAGAGAAGCTCTTCGACAAGACTGTACGAACCGATAAGAACGAGGGTCCAACTTGAATCAATACGTCGCCGATAACGATCGCGTGACGAGCTCGCGGCGCATCGAATGAAAGCTATTGTGTTGTACCAGAGACCGGTGGTACAGTGAATTTTCCCTATCGCGTTTATTCTGGTTCCGACACGATAATATGTGGAATAGGAAGTATTACGCGTCGGAACTCTTTCTCCTATTGTCGCAATGAATAATACATCAGATCCCGTCGGAGGATAATCGATTACGCGTCGCGCGAGTAAATTTTAATGGGGACATGTTAGCCCGCCTATGAATTTCGGTGTATTACGGTGTATTACGGTGTAAACGGGGATGTATGTTCCTCGTGCTGGCGGATACACGTTCGCGTAAACTTTCTCCGAGTATGAGAAAATTCCGTTTTCAACAGAAGCAGAATTAATTCCGTCGAGCACGGATTCTTTCGCGTTTGAAAACGCATTCCGTCCGCGTGAATAGCGACAGAAAACGCATTGAGACGACTCGCTCGCACAGCGTGCACAGCTATATTTAAGAACTAACGAGTTAATAACGGTAGTAAATGTCGTTTCAGCATTCCATTCGAACCGAGAATCCGTTTATCGCTAAATGATGCACTCGCGCTTTCTGAAATGGTGCTCTTTAAAGATAGAAAGAGGGAAAGAGATGCTCGTAATTCTATACGTAGCACGTGTGTATATGTGTGTGTGTGTGTGTGTGTGTGTGTGTGTGTGTGTGTATGTATGTATGTATGCGTGCTTGACATAAGCATTCGCGACATCAGCACATTGGCGAAATGTCGTGTGTATTTATGAAAATGGTTAAAACTTTGATATTTTCCAAGAAGAGACCGAAAGACACGGAAGGTGAAAAATTATCCTCGCTCGGAGAATTAATTAACGCAATTGCGACGACATTAATCCTGCTCGTGTACGACCTCGTGGGCTCATGCGTATGATAACTATGTTGGCTGTATGATAATAGCAGTGCCGCCGCCGCCGTCGCCGGTGCATCGTCTAGCCTAGCATCAGCCTAACCTAACTCAACGTTGTAACGATGTATATTTATACAACAGCTGGACGGCGGAGGGAGGGGAGTGCGCCAGTCAGCTGATTGAAGCGCTGGAGGGGAAAAGATGGAGGGGAGAACGACCTTTATTTAAAGCACCGCTGGAGGAAGCCTTTCTTCGACTGGTAAACAGTCGTCGAATGCAAATGCATGAGAGTTGCTTTCGTGTGTGTGCATGTCTGCTGTGTATGTGTATGCGAGTGTATGCGAGCGTATACGTGTGTAAGTATCCGCGCTTGAGATGTGTGAACGCTAATTTTTTTTTTCCTTTCGTTTTCGTCGAGAAATATTCCACGAGAAACGCGAGCATTTTCCACGGCGATCCGCTTAATTGCCGCAATTAGGTGGAAGAGCCGTAATGTCGCCTTCGAGGCGACGATGCGGTTCTATGTTGCAAGCTATTGTACATACAGGAAATTGTATAGGAAATAGCGGAATCCTTCGATGGTTTTTATCATTGTGATCACCTGAGAGAAATTTGATTATTCCTTGCGATTACAAATTACGACCTCTCACGGTGTGGAATTAAGATTTAATAGAAGAATAATTGAGAATTTAATTGAAGATTTTATTGAATAGCTATTCACTAAAATAAGTTAACCCGTTACGCGCAATTTACATTCAATTGACTTTACTTAATAACATTTTCCGTGAGAATATTCGGGATACTATTACTAAACATCGTTAAACATTATTTTTCATAAATACGTCAACGAAAAAGTGAGAAATGCCCCTGCCAAAATTTTCATTACATCTGCCATATATTTATTGAGCAAACAAGTATTTTTAATCCGCTCCGCTATAGTCGGCCGATAAAGCGCGCTCTGATCATCTCTCTTCCCTCGTAATAATCCCCTGCGTCGTCGAGGCAGCACGCCTCGCCAAAAATTTCGCGCATCGAAATCTCGAGGCGTCGACCGCGCCGCAACTCCGTCGTAAATATCGCGCGCGGCGCGAAACCTGTTCCATCTCCTCCTCCCCGTCGGGTTTTTCGAGATAAAGAACGGCAAAGTGCGGAGTCCTTGGCGAGATGCGGCGGCGGTTGCGGACTCGCGCGTTGCGCGTGAGAGCGAACCTGTGTAACGAAACCATGGTGGATGTGCGATGTTTCAGGGGACTGGCATGGAGAAGGAGAACTCCGCATCGGGCGGGGGCGGTGGAGGCGGCGGGGGTGGCGGAGCTGAAGCGGCGGCGGCGACTCCGGGCGCCACCTCCACCTCCGAGAAACTCCAGGCGGACCAGGCCAATCCGTTGCTCGATCCTACTGCACTCTTCGGCGGTAAGTCATTTTCGCTCGTTCCGCTGCCTTCATTTTTTTTTTTTTTTAGATTTCTCGTGTTTCTCTCTTTTCCGCTAGTTTCGTTCGACCTGTAAACGCTGGTGCGCGCGCGCGCCCGCCCGGCCGCTACGTGCGGACGCGCTACGTCGCGATAAGCGGCATCGTTATGCGAAGCGGCGAAGGTAGGTCGGGAAAAGAAGTCCGA